CCCCCCCCAGTTGAGAGCCCCTGCAGTAGGAAACTTCCATCTCTGTCCTGAGAGCAGTGGGAGCCTTGGGCAGTTACACTGGCTGTAACACACGTGGGACGTGGGTCCGTCCTGAGTGCCCCGATCAGTGAATCTTCCCACATGACCCAGTGTCTCAACGTTTCTTTATCGCTCCTTTAAGGAGTGTTTTTAATCATTATTTTCCCAATTGTCCTCCCCTTGTGAAATTTTAATGCCACCACCTGTTAGTTTCCTGTGGTGTCGTCACAAATTGCCACCAGCCTCGTGGTTTAAAACAACGCCCACTGACTATGTCACTGATTTTGTTGATCAGGAGCCTGGTGGGCTCAGCCTAGCGCTCTGCTGAGCGTCTCAGAAAGCTGGAATCCGCTCTTAGCTGGAGGCTGGGGGCTCATTCAGGTTGTTAGCAGAACTCACTTCATTCTCACGGTGTCCACATATCCCACCATCTTCACGCCAGCAACCCCGGGCCAATCCTTTGCTCTGTCTTCCATCACTCTTTCTGCTCTTAGCAAAGGGCTCCCGTGGTTGCACTGGGCCCACCCAGGAGATCCATAATAACCTCCCTATCTGAACCAATTAGGAACCTTAATTACATCTGCAGAGTCCCTTTTGCCCTATAACGTACTCCCAATCCCAGGGTTGAGGGTGTGGCATCTTGGGGGCCATACTGTATCTACAGCACGCCTCTACAGTATGGTCTGTCAAGCATGGCATCCGCTAAGGTAATACCCCACAGCTGTCTGTGCTCTCTATATCACAGAGTAGGGTGTTTTTCACCCCCACTGAGAATTCGTGAATTGCAGATGGTCCCCACCACAGGTACCACCCCGTTACCCTTCCCCCAGACCACTCCCCTTATTCTAACAGCACAGGCGTGCTCCTTCCTTCTTTGCACATGAATGGAGTCGCACAGTGTGTCCTCTTCATCACGTCTGGTTAATTCACTCCAAACCCATCTGCGTGATCCATCCTCACCGTGCAGAGCCCCAGACCACCTATGCCCGTTCCACTGTGTGAGTACGCTGCAGTCAGTGTGCACCCACCCCACTGCTCGTGGGCATTTGGGTCGTTCCTACAAAGACAGCTACCGTGATCATCTGAGTAGCTGTCCTCCGGTGAACACAGTCCNTGCAGTCAGTGCACCCACCCCACTGCTCGTGGGCGTTTGGGTCGTTCCTACAAAGACAGCTACCGTGATCATCTGAGTAGCTGTCCTCCGGTGAACACAGTCCTGGTCTCCAGTGGATACAGGTCTAGGAGCGGAGNTGCACCCACCCCACTGCTCGTGGGCATTTGGGTCGTTCCTACAAAGACAGCTACCGTGATCATCTGAGTAGCTGTCCTCCGGTGAACACAGTCCTGGTCTCCAGTGGATACAGGTCTAGGAGCGGAGCTGCAGGATGGCATAGCGAGCAGTTTTCCAAACTGGGTTTCAGTTTCCACTCCCCCCAGCAGCATGTGTGAGTTGAAGTGACAC